TAGTTCACATTTGAAATTTCAAGTGCAATGTCTTCGCACTGCAGACTGCTTACCTTTCCAATTGAAATCCTTATAAAGTTTATTTGGAATCATGAATGTTTATGTGAAAGCAGACAACCGGCGTTTCTTTACAAGGCTAACGGTAGCACCAACCCTCATTCCTGGAGGAAATATGGAAAAATATATTTACTTATATATGTTCTTTTCCCTATATATATATTTATATATACAGGGGAAAGAACAATAACACTTAGGCTGTATTACGTTCAAACTAAAGCATAGTTAAATTTCCAAGGGAAGATTGAAGAGGGGGAAACCTGAGGAGAGAGGTGATCAATGAGGGGAAGGACGAGACGGAGAGTTTTGCTCTCCCCTCGGTTTAGTGCTGCGCCTGAAAGGCTCCGGGGCTGCCTAGGGTGGCTGTCGGAAACTCAGCATCCTTCTGTCCCGGTTTACACGGGCTCGGCTTTGGTCCCCCCAAGTCCCGGGTTATGGGGTGCACTGGCTCATCCTCTGGGAAAGTGGCTGGAAAATAATTCTTGTAACTTTCGGGTGCAGCGGATGGAGTTCATTTTGTGCTGCGAGGAGGGGGTAAAAGGAGTTAATCTCTACGTCGTTGGTAATCCTTATAGAGCCGAGGGAGAGAGAAGTAAGAGGGGGGAAAAAAACCCCCGTGGGCTCCTCCAGTTTGGGGGTTTTCTGCAGCGCTGCCCTCTCTATAGAGCGCTCGGCGAAAAGAAACCGGTAAAAAAAACCCAACTAAATCCCAATTAAATGGGGGAAACGAGATGCGTTCCTGCACCCTCCTCCTCCTCCTTGCCGAGGGGCCCAGCCCTGTCCTGTGCCCCCCTCCCCGGGTCCCCGGTGTCTCCGGCAGCGCTCCCCGCCGCCGGACCTTCCCCCGAGGTGGCCGCCGCTCAGCGCCGCGGTGCCCCGCGGATCCCCCGCGGCCGAGGGGATGCTACGGGGAAGGGTCTCCCCTCCCCGAGGAGCCCCCGCCGCAGCACCCCCGCAGCACCGCCGCCCTCCAGGCAGGTACAGGCAAAACTCTTTAGGATTGGGGGGCGGAATTCACCGCATGTGTGTTGTTGTTTCTT